AGGAATGGAAATGTTCAAAAAGAGGCCAGCTTTCTTGCTTTTTTTAAAAAAAAAATCAGATGTTTCAGACCTACTTTGTTTTCTGAGAGGAAAGTTTGTCATCAGCAGGTCGACTGTTGCTGATGTTTCTTCCTCCAGTCCTTAATTTTTGATTCTTCAGTTTCCTCTTGACCACTTCAGCATATAGGTTAAATAAGAAAGCTAAAAAAAATGCAACCTTGCCATACCTCTTTATCTTGAGCTAGTCAGTGTCACCATATGGTGTTTACACAGTGGCTTCCTGATTTGTGCACAGTGACTGCATCAGCCTGACCAGATATGTTGGCACTCCCAGCACTTCTAGTGCACTCCAAAGCTTGTCATGATTGACAAAATTAAAGGATTTCTTGTAGCCAACAGACTTCAACAGATGTAGATATTCTTTTGATATTGAGATTTGCAGTATGATCACAAGTGCCACGATCCCTTCTGAAGTCAGTTTGAAAATGTTCATAAAATGTTTGCTTGTAATTTTATATTATATTACACTAATATAATTATATAATCACACACACATTATTATACAAATATAATATAATATAGTATACAGTATTAAGAAAATGCTTTTGGAAATGAGGATAAAATCTAAGGTAAGTTCTCTGGATTTATGCACCCTCTTTTTTTCCCATTTCAGTGTTTGAATTAGGCACCAAAAAAACTGCAAGCTATTTGCTAGTATTGTGCAATTTAAGCAGTTATGCAACTATGCAGGTAGGCCTCAATTTACAACAGTTCATTTAGTGACTGTTCAAAGTTGCAACGGCGCTGAAAAAAGTGACTTACCATTTTTCACACATACGACCATTGCAGCATCCCTATGGTCATTTGGATGCTTGATAACTGACTCCTATTTATGACTGTTGCAGCATCCTGGAGTCATGTGATCTCCTTTTGCACCCTTCTGACAAGCAGAGTCAATGGGGAAACCAATTCACCTAACAACTGTGTTACAAATTTAAGAACTGCAGTGATTCATTTTACAAATGTTGTAAAATGGAACAAACTCACTTAACAAATTTCTCACTTAACAACATAAATTTTTGGCTCAATTGTGGTCATATGTTGAGGACTACCTGTATTTATTTTGTCTAATACGTTCTACAGTTCTTATTATAGATGAGATTCTATATCTCGGCTGCTTTTTGTATTTAATTTATTTTTGTATGTGTTTAAATAGTTTTTATAATTGTTAGCTACCCAGAGTCACTGTGTTGAAATGTGTGGCTATAAAAATGAATAAAGAAATAAAAATAAACTTCATAAATAGAGGGATAAAGTTTTGGAAAATTTTGTTGGGTTTTGAAACTCTCTTCCTCAAAACATTAACTTGGTTTTTAATATTTGCTAACTTTGTTTAAATATCTCAGACATTACCCATTTAATTGCAGTACCATCATTAAATTAGTATTGTTAAAACTGAGGTTGGGCCCTCATTTATATTTAAATAATACTGGAGTAATATGGCTACCTCTTCCTATTGTTTTTTCCTAACTAACGCTATACATGTATAATGCTTACATACTGTACAAATTTTCAAGAAAATTACTTTAAATTAGGGATTTATTAAATTTATATGCTGGCCCATCTCCAGCAACTCTGCATGGTTTATGGATTGAATTAGTTGAGCTGAAAAAGTTAAATCACATCTTCTAGTACCATGGATTTTTGGATCTCAGGATCTCTGTGATTGCTTTTAACTAATTATTTATTCAATTTCTACAAGCATTATGTTTAAAAATGATGGAGAAAATATTCTATATCACATCTTGTTTGGCTTCTGTGGTCCTGATTTTTTTAACCTATTTCTATTCTTCAGAAGGATTTATTAATATATCTGTTGTTACAAAAATATCAAATAATGTATATGGATGGATTTTCTTTTAAAGTAAAAAACAGTGTTATTTGAAATCAAGACGCTCTAATGATGGTAATCAGTTACTTGAGAATAACAATATTTATAAAGTGAGAAAAAATGGAAATGTGTGCATTGTTTGGGAAATTGAGTCAAAGAGATCCCTGGTATGTTTCTACTTTAAGAAATGTTTTTGTCTTTTTTCAATTTTTTATGAAAAATATGGCATTAGTTCTCTGTATAAATAGTTGTGGTAAGGAAAAAAAATAAAAATAGTTTGTCAGCCATTGCATAGTGCAGAAGTTGAACTTAAGTAATATTTGGAATGTAAATCAGACTAACAGGAAATTCCAAGCTGACTGGCATTTCATTCTTACTTAATACATGCATGTAAACGTCCAGTCTTTTTCATATAATAACAGAAAAGAATTCTGTTCCTCTGAATCTTGAGCGTTTGGAACAAAGCAAACTGTTGCTAAAAAAAATCTGTATCAGATTTGCATATACAATTGGCTAACTTCAATCCCCAGTACTATATTTCTAATTGAAAGATAGGGAATACAGTTTAGATAGCCATTGTACAGATAGTCCTTGACTTATGACTACAATTGAGCCCAAAGTTTATGTTTCTGAAACATTTGTTTGTGAGTTTTACCACATTTTATGACCTTTCTTACCACATTTGTTAAATGAATTATCGCATTGTTAAGTTAGTAATATGGGTAAGTGAACATGGATTACCCCATTGACTTTGCTTGTCAGAAGGTCGCAAAAGGTGATCATGTGATCCCAGGACACTGCAACCATCGTAAGTATGAACCAGTTACCAAGCAGCAGAACCTGAGGATGTTGGCAACAGTTGTAAGTATGAAAAATGGCCAAAAGTCACTTTTTGTAGTGTGGTTGTAACTTCAAATGGACACTAAATGAATGGTTGTAAGTGTTGTGGTTTGCCGGCAGCAGATGCGGACAGCTGAGGTCTCAGACAGTGAGGACTCAGATGAGGGGCCTTCGGGTGATGTAGGAATGGGCCAGGACTATCAGAGAGTGGAGTGCTGCCTTCAGAGCTTGTGGAGGCTGGCAGCACTGATGCAGAGGACCCGGAGGAGCCGTTCGAAGGAAAGAATAGCTGCTGCAGCATGGGTGACTCAGGAGTAAGGCTGCAAGCTGATGGCCCCTTCCTTAAGCCAGCCCTCAGAGGTGGGATTCTTTGCAGGAAGCAAAGAAGTTCTTGCATTTAAAGTCTTGTGGAAGTACGGACTATCCTGGTTTGTGTTTGGAGACTTGTGATAAAATCATCCTGTCAAATATACTTTTGCTTTGCTAATGGCTGAAATAAAATGAAAATTCAGATTATCAATTTCATAGTAAACAAAGCAAAATGTTTTATTACAATGTACATAAAGTAGAAACTTATTTACAGCAAACCAGAAAACAAATAACAATGTACTGCAATTAAAAATAGCAGGAAACTGATATACTGCTACGTTTAATAGAATATTCAGCCATTAAAAAGTAAGATTACACTTATGTGCATAATTAGAGCGAATTCTTAAAAGTAATAGTATGCAGAGGAGCAGGACTCAAATATTCACAATAAACATATGAATATGAGCTATCATGCACCCTTTTCTATTTATATCCTATTTAAAATATTCAGTAATATTTTCACTACTTATTTGTTTCTCTTATTGTAAATTTGAATTCTATAGTCTTCAAAAAATGGAAAGTTTGCATTAGTTGACAATAAGTGTTATGGTAATTATGTTTATGAACTATATTTTCAGACGTGTGTGCAAAAGATCAACAAATTGGAGTTTATTGGACTTATTCAAATCAGGAATTTTTAAGTCAGTAACAAAAACATCAAGTTTTTGATTTGTATTTGATTTCCTGAATTGTACAATTGTACAAATTTACAATTCTAACAGAGGCATGCTAATTTACATCTAAGTAGAATATTATTGTATTTTCATTGTTTCATTCTTATGACCAAGTGCTGTATCACTGTTATAAGTCTTGCTTCCTTCTTGAGGCAATATTCCAATATAAAGAGGATAATTATTTTTTCTTTTTATATTTATAAGCTCCTCTAGGAAATGTATATGTGTATAAACTATATTGTATTTTTACAATCCATATATAATTCATGTCTATAAGCAACTTTTAATAAGTGGCAAATAACATCATATCTTCAATCAGTGGTGGGATTCAAATTTTTTTACTACCAGTTCTGTGGGTGTGGCTTGGTGGGCGTGGCATGGGAAGGATACTGTAAAATCTCCATTCCCTCCCCACCCCACTAACCTGCTTTCCAGCTGCATTCTCCTGTGCAGTGCAACAAAAGAAGACCCAGCCGATCAGCTGGGACTAGGGAGGCAGAGAATAGATGAGGGCAGGGCCAGTCAGAGGTGGTATTTGCCGGTTCTCTGAACTACTCAAAATTTCCGCTACCGGTTCTCCAGAACTGGTCAGAACCTGCTGAATACCACCTCTGTCTTCAATCCTTGGAATAATTGGGCCATACATGTTTTCTTTTAGCAGTAAGAAGAGCTGCAAGAAACCAATTCTGTTGTCTGGCTCTCAATTTTCATGTTTTTTTTTTTAAAAATATCTTAAATCAAATTATATTATATTATCAAATGTATATTCTTACTTTTTCCCAGAACATAAAACCTTTAGGATAATTGAAAAATGTAACTTTTAATGCCGCACTATTCATCTCCAAAACCATTATGATTTACTGATTCTTTTTTTATACAAATGCAATAGGATAATTAAGTCTGATTTTGTTGTTCCTTTTGAATAAGCCATAATCAGAGATATATTGAAAATATTGATTTAACTGTTTTAAATGTTTATAAAGGTAGATGTTTAAGAGAATTTAGATAAAATGGGGATCTCCAGTTCCTTTATCTAGTCTTTAGCAATTGCATACTGAATGGATTTATTGATAAAAGGTATTTTTAAACACACACTATGGATTTTTTTGTCTAATGGTATTAAGTGTTCATTTCTAATAATTCACGTCTCTGAACCTGAAAATTACAGATTGAAATAAAAATATTAGTATTTTTTTTACTCATTTCTTTTTTTTTTTTTTTAACAGATGAATTACAAATGAAACTTTTACTCAGTTTTTCCAGATTTCAACAGCAAGATGTTTACTGCAAATACTGCAACCTGGGTTACTTTTGAAGATGAATCCCAGTCTCCTCAGAGGTCAAGAGAAAATGATAACGTTTGCAGACCAAATGGGCTTAAACTCACACTGCCTAAAATGCAAGATTTTTCAAACCAATTGTCCTCCATCACCTGTACTTCTCTCTCATCTCCTAAAAGTGATTACTTCTATAGCCCTGATCCCCCCAGTAATTCTCCACTCTGTACACCCACCAGAGACTATCCTGTCAGTCCTTGCTTTCCTAAATCGGGAACTCATTTTCTTAGTCCTATTCCAGAATTGCCATCCAATGTTAATCATCTCCCACTGATTGAACCACCTTCTCAAAAACTGACTGGAATATCTCAGCCTGTGCACAGTTCAGAGTTCTCCACTCTGAAACCAATACATGGTGCACAAGTTATGCATCAGGAAAACTCAAAGAAATTGGAAAATTCCTTAGACTCTCAAGCCTTTTTTCAGAATGTTTCAAGTGAGTCTGCTTTCTCCAATCCATTTTGGTCAGAAGATTCATCTACTGGGTCCTTGTCCAGCTTTCATGTACATGAAAAAGAGTCAGATTTTGAAAGAGATTGTTCTTTTAAAGGGAAGAAAAGCTGGCCAGATCAGAAAAGCTTAAACCAGGGTTCATTCAATTATATATGTGAGAGGCTTGAACACTTGAAAACAGAAACTTCAAACAATGAAAGAACTTTGAGACCCATTCCATGTATATGCACTAGAGATGGCCTTTCTTCATTTATTCCAAGCAGTCTCTTTAGCAGTCAGAGAAAAGATGGCTGGCCTTTCATGCTGAGGATTCCTGAAAAGAAAAATATGATGTCATCAAGGCAGTGGGGTCCTATTTACCTTAGAATTTTACCAGGAGGAATCCTACAAATGTATTATGAAAAAGGTCTTGAAAAACCTTTCAAAGAATTCCAGCTGCATCCATATTGCAGGCTTTCAGAACCAAAGTTAGAGAACTGCAGTATCTCTGGGAAAATTCATACGGTAAAAATTGAATATGTGACATATATAGAGAAGAAGAAGTACCCTAAAACTGAAGTGGTTCATGAAGCAGAGATCGAACAGATGCTGAAATTAGGAACAACTGATTACGGTGACTTCACTGACTTCCTAATGATAGTTGAGGAAGAGTTAATGAAGCTTCCTGCTATTTCAAAATCAAAGAGACACTATGAAGAACAAGAAATGATCTTGGAAATAGTGGATAATTTTTGGGGGACAATTAGTAAAGCAGAAGACAGATTAACTGAAACTGCTGTCATAACTCATATTTATTCATTAAACTTTTTGAATGGCAATTCTGAATGCTTTATGACACTAAATGACTTGGAGCTTCAAAAGAGGAATGAACATTATTTTGAGTCAGACAATAAGAAAAAATTGATCAAAATTAACAACTATCACTTTCATCAATGTGTGAAGAAACAAGAATTTGAGCAATCAAGAATAATTAAATTTACACCACCAGATGGCTGTAGAGTAGAACTAATGCGTTATAGGACACAATATAATGGATCAGATCTTCCATTTTCTATCAAAGCCTTGTTAGTTGTTCAAGGAGCTTATGTTGAACTGCAAGCTTTCATAAACGTGTCTTCAGCATATTCATACCCTACAAAACATTGTGAGAATGTAATGGTTCACTTTCCTGTTCCCTCACAATGGAACAAAACTCTTTGGACTATGAACCTCCAAAGACAGAGATCCCTGAAAGCAAAAATGAACAGAAGAACTTGCCTTGGCTCTTTAAATGAGCTTGAATCTGACTCCATTATTCATGTCTCAGTTGGAACAGCCAAGTATGAAAGTGCCTATAGAGCTATTGTGTGGAAAATTGACAGACTACCAGATAAAAACGCAAGTAAATAATTTTTATAAAATTAGTTTATATAAATGTTGAAAGATAATTGAATTGAATTATTTCTGTAGTTTGTTAATACGACAGAAATAAGATATTAGTGGCAGAATTAATGGTCCAGTAAATAAAATAGATGATATAGTGGAAGACCATGCCTATTTCATTCTGGCTAGCATATTTCCATTACTTTTAAAAAAAATTAAAAACTTAAAATTGTTTCTCATTACTATTAGTATGACAATATATAGTAGGTACCATTTTAGTGCAAGTAGGGCTATGTTTTGAATGTATATAACTGCTTCTGCTTGTTTAATCTCAAATTCTGAACTATTCTATTCACCTATGCAAAATATAAAACTTGCCAGTTCACAACTTTGTATATTTAATAACACCAATGTTGATTGACAAACTTGTTTTATACATTTCTTTTTAAAGGGCCCTAGAGTTACATTAGAATTTGTCCTTTGGGGAAATCTTTTACTGTATTTATATCACTCTGCTAAACAAATAATTCCCTCAACACTGTTCAACTATTACAAAGTCTGCACTACTATTACTGTTAATTTTCTCATCACTCCTTATCACCCATCCCCTCCCACTTGTGACTATATGACTGTAACTTTGTCGCTTGCATCCTTATGATCTATATTGACTGTTTCCTAGTATGATTTGATTGCTTATTGTACCCTATGACTATCATTAAGTATTATACCTTTTGATTCTTGACAAATGTATCTTTTATGTATACTGAGAATGTTTGCACCAAGACAAATTCCTTGTGCGTCCAACCACACTTGGCCAATAAAGAATTCTATTCTATATTCTATTCTATTTTAAGAGTTCGATCCAAGTACACTTCTCCCCATAGCAGTTACACGAATAATTTCTAAATACAGTGGCTAAATATACATTAGCCTTGAAAAACAAAAATAGAATAGAATAGAATAACAGGTTCGTCTAGAAAATGTATATTGAGGTAGCTATATAAATTTGAAATATTATCAGATAGCTACATTACTGTATGTCTTCAAATATATGCAAAAGAATGAATAGTTTTATGTTTAGCTTAATGTAAGACGCAGTGGTGGGATTCAATTTTTTTTAATACCGGTTCTGTGGGCGTGGCTTGGCGGGCGTGGCAGGGGACGGAAACTATAAAATCTCCAGTCAGAGGTGGTATTTGCTGATTTTTCCGAACTACTCAAAATTTCTGCTACCGGTTCTCCAGAACTGGTCAGAACCTGCTGAATACCACCTCTGGTAAGATGGCAAGTAGTAGTTCATACTTTGATATCAAGTATTTGATATGCTGGGCTCTTCTGTGTTTGTTATGATTGCCCAAAAAAGTTGAATTTTATTTGCTAGTGTTATATTATGTTTTGGCTAAAAATGGTACAGATCCAATTTTAAGACTGGAGCAAATATTCCAGTGGACTTCCATTTAGTGGCCCTTCATTATTGTTGTTTCCTGTCAAATTACTTAACTATCCTATTGCATTACCCAGTCCTTCCAAAAACTTCAATAGCTTGATTGTTCTCTAAGCTAGCTGTCTTCGTAGAGCGTTGCTATAATATTTCCCCTTCTTTCCTTCCAAGATCCAGATCATCTGCACAGTTTGTCTTTCAAACTAGAACTTGGCTCAGATCAAGAAATCCCTTCTGACTGGTGCCCTTTTGCTGTGGTGCAGTTCGTTGTGTCTGATGCATGTGCCTCAGGAACTGAAGTGAAATCATGGGGAATTGATAGGGATGTACAGCCTCAGAAACATGTGATTCAGAAAGCATGTTATAATTGCCAGGTAATGTCTTTCTGCTCCTGCTTAACCAAATGTCAACCCACAATTACCATAATCATATTGAAATTTATTTCACTGTATGTCTTTTGCTAAGGCTTGCATCTGATGATGTAACTACCATTCTGTGGAACCTTATCCAGCACTAGCATAATGCTTGCGTTTGGATAACATATAAAATGTAGCTTTAGTTGTCAGTGCATCCTGTTATAATCAACTGCCTTATTTTTCCAGCTGCACAAATCTTTCCGGGGTTGTCTCTGTCTTAAAACTTCCCATATCATCTACCAGAGCAACTGCTTATCACATGATCTGCCCACAACTTTTTATTATTTCAGCCAAAAAATAAATAAACGTGAAACAAGTCATGATTTAAGACTTGCCTCTCTGCTTACTGCAGGTCATGACCGAGACAAGACAATATGTTTTAAACAAGAAAGTGGTAACCATTATAGATTCATATAGAATGGCATGAAACAGCCAGTTGGCATGATCATGCACATAGACTAATATAAGTTTTGCTTTATGCGTGCCTTTAAATTTTAAATCACTAAAGGACGATAGCAAGCAAAGAGGTCTATTCTTCTGAACAAGCCTCAAAACCCTTGTTCTCTCTATATTATGGCAGAAAAGATTGTGTCAGTGGGCTCATTCAACTAACACAACCCATCTATAGCTCAGAAAACCCCATTTTTATTTTTCTGTAAGTTTTAGATTTAATAATATTGTTCTGTGACTGCTTTCAAAACTCATTAAATTTTTATCCTAAATACTTACTGTTATTATATTTACTTATTTATAATATAGGCAATCTATTGATTGTGTAAAACAAGTGAAGTGGACCATGCAAATTTCTGCTGGTGTTACACTGGATGGATGCTACTATTTATATTTTGAATGAGATGGGATGATGGTCTTAAGTCAGTATCACAGCAACATGTTTTCTTTTATTCTGTATATTTATCCCGTGTTCTCTTAATATTCAATTTATATTTTATTTCAATAAAAAGACCAGCTGTTTCTTAAAACACAATTAGATAGGAATGTCACTAATAATATAAACTTTTCTTAATCCCATTTCTTTTGCTTTCATACTACAGGTTGAAATTGAGAAGAAATGGATTAGACTTGAGGGAGAAGATCCCAATAAGAGTGGAGATTGTGACATACAGTAGAAGAGACAAGTAATTTGGATTCTTTTTGAGGTTGTGAGAACTATTTTAATGTAAGCAGGATAATTTAAATGCAGTAAAGCAATGTTGGAAGATTTCAGTATATAATTTTCAAATTGTCATATAAAAAGTTTAGGTACATAATTGTCAGTTTGCTTTCTAAACATTTAATATATTAACTATAACATTATAAAGGTAATACTATAAGTTGGTTCTGTTTCAGAGTTTGTGGGGAAATAAACTGAACACAGTTATAGCTTGCAACTCCCTAAGGCAGACTTACCTTTTCCTGAGGTAATACAACTATGCACTGCAACTGCCATGTAATTGGTGGGAAAATATATTTGGGTTAACAAACTGCAGTAAATTGTACTTGTACTTTTGTATATTCCTAAACAACCTTCTGCCTTTCAACCCAAAGGACATACTATATTGAAAATAACCATATTTTATATGACTTCAAAGTCAGCTGATCACAAATCATTTTCATGTTAGCATCCAAATGTTTCAACTTTTGATGTTGTCTAGAATCATAAAACATAGATAAAATCTGTCTGTATAATTTTGTTTAATCTTCCAACTTTCACTAAAAAAGGCAGGCCCAACTATATTTATTGGTGGATTCAGTGGTGAACTTAGAGATTTTACTGTAAATTGAACCTTTTACATTGTAAGTATTTCAATATGTTCTTTTGCTACTTAAAAGTACATGTGTGGGAAATTATTTACTAGAATATAACATAGATATTTTTAGGGTAGTGCTGTTGGCAAAAATAAAGGGCTAATCCGTTGCTTCCTTCCAAAGTTGTTAATGTAGGGGAAGCACTGCAATAATTTGAACTGTTCCTTTCCTTTGGGCTTTTGGTGAAAATTGTTTTGCTTTGTAATATTTTGCCATTAGGTTTTTTTTTGAATCTCCAACAAGAACATATGTTAGATTAGAAAAAAAGTCTTCATTTGTTTTTCATAAAAGCTGAAGAACAAGGTCTTTCATATGAACATGAAAAGCAAAATGTTCTTTTGTTCTACCAGATGAGCTAGAATTTACTTAAGGAGTGTGGAATGGATTGCACTTGGCTTTATGAGAAAACAGCTATAACTAATACAATCAGTTTACCCTTTGGGCTATTTTGAACTTATTTTTAAAATTTATTATTTAGACATTTGACACATTTGGGAAGAGGACTCATCACTATTTTCAATCTTGAGGTATATGTACTGAATATTTGGGAAATCAGTTTTAATTTATATTGCTTGCATTCTGATTAATTTTAACTGTTCCACATGTTATTTTTGTTTCATGTAACTCTTTTTGGAATAAAACTGTAACAGCACATTTCATTTCACACATGTTTATTCTTGCTGCAGATACTAAATACAGGGAATATAAACAAGTAAGATTCAAATTTTACAAGACTCAAAAGAAGGAGGTGGATTTGAATTATCAAGTGAGCTGTTCATTGTGGATAACAGAATAGATAAAATCCTTAAACAGCAGAATATCAATTGTAGTAGGAACTGATTTAGTCAATGGATTTCATAGATATTTATGGTGTGAAGAAACAAGAGAAGTATGTGAAAGAGCATATGATAACGCAAAGTTTGTTAAAAAATATAGAATCATCTAAAAATAAGGATACGTCTGGTAATTTCACCATTAGCATACATTGTCAGATGCCTTTAATTTTGAAGACAACTACAGCAAGAAGGATTTAATCACATATGCTAATATGTTGTACTCAGACTTGGAAAACAGACTAAACCCATAGTAAGAATTGTTCTGTGAAGGTAAACATTCACCATGGTTGATTGCTGGAAAAATAAAAACTGATCTCAAGAAAGAAGGGATCTTGAGAAAAAGGGCAGAATGTAGAATATTTTAACATAATCAAGACATTCTATTAGGGGATATATTCTTATTGAAATATGACATGGAGGCAAAACAAATTAAAAATTATATGATAAAGTGGATGCAAATTTCAAAGAAATAATCACAATAGAATAATAGGTTTATGGGGAAAAATCAATAACATTTACTCTAAGCTATGATTTGGAGGAAAATTGGTATGGTGTACTTCATCAATGGTTGACAAGTTCAAAAGAAATTATACAATCACAAATATTGGAAACGCTACAACAAAGAAAGAACATTTTATCTACGCATTTAGTCATGCTAATTCAAAAGTATTGGAAGGAAATGCACCAAAATATTCAGATATTTTGTATGTGTGTGTGTGTGTATACACTTTTCTGTAGGAAAATCCATTTATGCCAGTGTGGTTTTTCTGCTGTGGGAGGAATAATCCTTTTAAAATGTATATATGTATTATTTATGTAATAAAATGACATAAAATTAGTATGTACACAATTTAAATATACATAGAGTATTTCTGACACTGAATATGAATGGATATAGCAGAGAAATGTCTTTTAGCTCTAATGCTTGTTCCATTTAGATTTTTTGGTGAAAGGGAATTATGCTGTATCTTTTAAAGTAAGAACACACTGTTAATAACAAAAGCAACACTTTTTATGTAAATGAGATCTAATTCTGTTTTCCCACAGTGCAGAAAAGTATTCTTGGGGTTGTTCTTCCCATTGTATTCTGAATTGCACCTAATACACTTATTGGAGAAGAAAGCTTTCTTCTGTTCCTCTTCTGCCTGACTATGGTGGCCATACAAAGAGAGCAGCTCTACTATCTAGTACTGTATGTGAGAGGAGGAAAACAGAATGAAAGGAATTTAGTCTATCTTGATTCTTGGATGCCTCAGAAGATCACTCCAGAAGGTTCTGTGAGACTTGTACAATATAAGCCCCAAGGGGAAGGTCCTTCCATGAGTGCTCCCCTCCATTTCTGAGGGAGTAATCTACTGCAGACCCAGTGGACTACACCTAAGGAACATGTAGTTCATGCATGGATCTTGTTTTCATATATTATTTCAGGGAACTGAGCCATTAGTGAAGACAGAGCCTCATTTGGGCAGACAATCATCATATCAAATTTTTCAGTTGAATTACATGAATAAGGCTATCTGGGCTTGATTCATGCTCTTTGCAGCTGCTTGTAAGAGGGGAAGTTTCCTCAGTCATGGATATCCCCCTGTTGCCTTCACTTCTTTGCTCCCTTCACAGTCACTGACTGTCTATCACTGATAAAAACACTAGGGCTGGAAAAACAGTCTTGGCTGATGACCATTCAAATAAGAGAGCAGGGCTCAAGGAGATCCCTTTCTACATTGATTTCTTTGCTGAAGGTCTCTTAGCAGTCTCCCCACTTCCAGGCTTCTCTGAGACCTCATAGTCACCTTTATCCTCAGAAAAAGGTAAAAGAAAACTTAGTCAATGAGACTGGCTGTCACCCCACCATCGTATACTTGCACAGTGTATAGAAACTTCTGGCTGAAATAAAATATTGATTCCAATTTAAAGCTGCAGTACATTTGAGGTCATTCAACAAGACAAGTTATTCTATGATACATTATTTGAGGAAATTTAAGTGGAAACCAAAGACAAGGAAAAGGCCTTACCAGTTGTCCTGGGATTTCAAATGCTTCAAGAGCTTCTTCTCATGTATCTGTTCAGCTGTTAAACCTGTTCCCAGATCTCAAGAGAAGAAGATCATTTGGGGATGAATCAACCAAGACATGAGCCTCAGGTCAAATCTTTCCATAGCTTTTTCCACAAAGGAGGTAAAAATATTAAAGGATTCTAAATTATTCATGTGGGAGATGACTTACACTGTAGATACACATCAGATTTTGGACTCAAATAATAAATGCATGTGTTCTCAGAGGTGCATAATAGATTATGTTCAAATTCTTCATTATTTTGTATCAACTCTCAGGCCTTGCTGCTCACAGAAGAATGGTTTGATGCTGAAAGTATTATCAACATTTGAGCAATAGATGTGATGCAGTTTGGTACTTGCTGAATATTCTTTATAGTTAAAAGAGGACTTACTGGAGAACTATTCTACATGTGAAAAGGTAAACTAGTGTATACTACTGCAAGTTCTGTATGGAATCAGTCATGCATCAACTTCCCTGAATAGGTGAGAATACCTGCGTGTTCCACAACTAATTACCACAGGAAATTACTCAGAATTTATTGTAAGATGGCTCACTTCCAACACTTAGTCCTCCCTCTCAATTTTCTAGCTTCTTCAGGAAACCAAATGAGTTCCTCCTGAGCTTAACGGTGAGAAAGAATGATCTCTGATATCACTGGTCTACAAATTTTGGGAAATTATCAGCCTCTGAGATAAAATGTATTAATTTTACGTATTTTGATTATCGGCAAAGTATGGTAGAACAATGAAAATGGTACCACATAGAAGTGTATAAATTTTTCTTTTTATCTCCCCAGGGATAATCCTGCTGCAGTTCACAAGAGAAAAGCCAAAAAGTGCACTTTAGATACCGAATAAAGATGAAATCTTGAAGTTTAATCTGATGTTAGAGCTTGTTAGTTTTTCATGCAAAAACTGATTTTGATTGGTGTGGCACCATTCTCATTGCTATATCACATTTTGCAGAAAAATTATGGAGAATCCCCCTCGTCATTATGAATTATTTTGATGCAATTTTGACCTGAAACTGTATCTTGGAAACCAGAGCCAATTAATACTCAGGACTTAATTTTCATTTATTAGTGACCCAATTCTGGTAAAATTAAGCTAATTTCCAAGGCTTTTTCCTTGTAGACCAGTGAATTTGGACAACCTCTTAATACAATAATTTCTAATTGGGAAACACCATACTTTTGTCCAACCTCAATAAATATTAAAATATAGCACTGTACCATTTTCTACATATGGGGTTCATTTTTTAAAAAGTATGGTTTGTATACTCATATATGCTGATCAGTATGTGTTCATCTCAGTGCTACTGTCCAAATTATTTGACAGGGATTGATAATCAGGACCAATAGGTTTCTTGGACAAAGTTTTACCTTTGAAATCTGCAGTGGACTTATTACCATACTAACCATATCTTGTTCAGAAATTTTTCCAAATTTCAAAGAGTTTCTTCTCTGGAGACTTATGCCAATATTCAAGGAAGGCAAACCAAAATGCTATTCTTATGTTCTAGAGACAACAGATGGAAGGAATTTCAGGATCTGGAAAGCAGATTGCAATAACAAGATGATTCAGAGCCTCTTATCTTTCTGGGAGTTCAAATACAGTACATATTTTGAAAAACAGTGATTGGTCAAGCTATCATTAGCCTTTTTCAAAATCAGCACATTCTCAACTTGATAATTGCGTGACTTGCAGTAACAGCGATGCGTCAAAATAGGACAAAACCTTATTTTTCCATGCAACAAGCATCCTTCCAGCATAAGCCAACTTCTCCTTTTGCCACTTAAAACCATTCAAGGCCTCACAACAGGCTGAGTTGAATAAACCTGTAAGTAGGAAAAAGGTTCCTTCCTTGGAGAATGTTTTTTTGTCAAACATTTTGGTTTGCCTGTTACCAGTTTGTCTTTCACTTCAAAAAAAATTGTTGACATTTTACTTTTGTTTTCCCACTGAAGACATGGAAACAGCAGGTGTTTTATATTAACTGATGACATGGAGATTTGTTGTACATAATCTTACTGAACCCTCTGATTACCCAGGTGCTATCTACAGCAGTATTGGAAGAAACAAAATTCCTTTGGTGGTAGCATATGACTTTGTGGGCCCTTGTTTAAGATCTGAAACAGCTATCAATTAGTTCACTGCTGGGTCTTTCTATGGCTCTGGACATTTTTTTCAAAGAGGTGTTTTCAAGATTTAGATATGAATTGGTTATAGCTTACCATGTTAAAATATGAAGAAAAGGAAATCTCAATATCTTTGGTTTCCTAAATCTAGTCTATTAATTGCATATATAAAGCAGGATGCTGCATTTTTAGTGTTATGATCGGACAAGAGTTTTGGATCCCACACATCTCAAAGTCATGTTTTTAATACTGTTTACCAAATCATTATTTTTGTCCTGTATCTGACTTTAAACTCCCATGTGGATATTCTCTAAGCTCTTCCCTTTTGCGGCTTCTGATTTTATCCAGAAGAGTATTAGAGCTGACATTAGCAACTTGGTCAGCATGCGAGGAGTTCTATAGCTTGAATTCAGGGATGTTCTTTCTTTTGGATCAAAAATCATTTCCATATGAATCAGGAAGTGATATTTTTAAACCTTCTTTGAGCGTAGAAGAGGAGTGAGATAATCAGAATCTGTGATACACATTGAAATCCTACCTGATTAAAATCCTGGACGTCATATTTTCTGCTCATTTTGTTTTTGTAGTCATGTTGAAAAATAATACAATATTACAATCCCATCAAACAATAATCAGAAGTGGTAGTGGCAGCAAAAGTGTCAATTTAATTTCTTAATAAGGTAAACATTGATATATAACCCATACTTAGAAGAGCTCTTAGAGTCCTTCATAATTTTTAACAGTGGAAGGGGCCCTGAGAGGAAAAAATAAAATAAAACTCACTTTCTCTATTCCATGAGAAAGAGGCTGTTATGAAACTGATAAGCTCCCACTACTAATTAGGAAAACTGCATTTTCAAAATAGAAAACAGTCTTTCATTTTTCCATCCATGAAAAAGCAATGCAGAATGAGTGCACCGTGTGTCAGTTTCTCTTTTACTCCTGTGCTGTTTACTTCCCTAGTCCACTTTTTATCCCTGTAATTTTAAGTCAGACCGTCAACCTTGAGAATCTTGGTACTGAAGTCATAGTACCATCTGGTGGGAGCAAATAAACTGCAGCGTTTTCTGTCCTCCTGCCTCCCCCCCCCCCCCCCCCCCCCGCCAAGGTACATAAAGGGGGAATCAGAGTGTTATGGGCAGGATAAATTATTATACAAAATTATAACTCTGAAAACATAAAATATTCATGTAACAATACAATACACATTTCTTTATTTGGATTCTGTGCCAGATCACTTACAGTGCAGCACAATAACATATTCTCCTGGAACCACCAAACATACATTCTGAGATGCTTGTCCTTTTAGTTCTGGGAGACACAGAAATCAATAGAATGAGTTAGAATATTCCATTTACTGGTAATTAGTAAACCCCCCGCCCCACACACATATACACACACAAGAATGGAGATGAGCTAGACATAATTTATTTGAGGCAGTGGCAGCAAAATTGTAAAATGTGTTTATTTATGTCCAGAATAAATTTAAGAAAGGATGTGGGGCCAAAAACCCAATGCCACTCCGTATTAAGTTGAGCCAAAGTTGGTTCATCATCCTTATCCAGAGCCTTACAGCCTCCAGGTACTTGGATACACCACAACAGCATTACCTACCTGGTCTGGGGTAATATATATATAATTGGGTATCATTAGCATATGATGATATCATATCTGTGCTGTCGGATGACTTCACCCAGTGGTTTCAAGTAGATGTTAAAGAGGATGGAGGAAAGACCAAGCCCTGAGGCATCTCACACTGCAGGGCCTTGGGTTTGACTTTTCCTCACCCATCAACACAGATTGGAACCAGTCATAGAGAAAGGATGAGAATCACCACAAAATGGTGCCTCCCGCTCCCAACTCTCAGAGCATGACCAGAAGGATACCATTGTGGATGGTACTGAAAGTTACTAAGAGATCCAGAAGAGCTAGGGCAGTTGCATCACCCCCACCCCAGGTCCTTCAAAGGTCAACAGCAAATGTAATCAATGCTATACCCCAGCTTGAACCTAGGTTGAAAAGGGCCCCAGATTATCTGCTTCTCTGCACCCAACCACCCTCTCAATAAACTTCCCCCCAAAGGGAAAATTGGAGATTGGAAGAAATTTATTTAACACAGCTATGTCCAAGGAAGGCCTCTTCAGAAGGGGGTATAACATGCATCCTTCAAGTACCTCCTCCTGCAAAGAGACATTAGCTACTGTGATAACAGATAACAGATAATCAGAGTTGGAAGGGACCTTGTAGGTCACCTAGTCCAACCCCTCGCCCAAGCGGGAGACCCTACACCATTTCTGACAAATGGCAGTCCAATCTCTTCTTGAAAGTCTCAAGTGATGGCGCTCCCACAATTTCCGAGGGCAAGCTGTTCCATTGGTTAATTGTTCTCACTGTCAGAAAGTTTCTCCTTATTTCCAGGTTAAATCTCTCCTTTCCATCCATTATTCCTTGTCTGACCTACAGGCACTTTAGAAAATAGCTTGACCCCTTCCTCCCTGTGGCAGCCCCTCAGATATTGGAAGACCTCTATCATGTCTCCTCTGGTCCTTCTCTTTACTAGACTAGCCAAGCCCAGTTCCTGTTCATTGTATGTTTTAGTTTCCAGTCCCCTAATCATCCTGGTTGCTCTTCTCTGTACTTTTTCTAGAGTCTCAACATCTTTTTTATAATGTGGTGAGCAAAACTGGATGCACTACTCTAGGTGTGGTCTTACTAAGGCTTTATGGAGTGGTATTAGTACCTCACTTGATCTTGATTGTATCCCTCTGTTAATACAATTTAGGATTGCATTAGCTTTTTTGGCTGCTGCTGCACACTGCTGGCTCATATTTAGCTGGTTGTCCACTAAGACTCCAAGATCCCTCTCACAGTTACTGCTATTGAGCCTGGTTTCACCCAGTCTATATGTGTATTTTTGGTTTTTCTTGCCTAAGTGTAGGACTTTATTTTTCTCTACATTGAATTTCATTTTGTTAGATACAGCCCAGTGTTCTAGTCTGTCAAGATCCATCTGGATCTTGAGCCTATCTTCTTGGGTGTTAGCTATTCCTACCAGCTTAGTATCATCTGCAAATTTGGTAAGTTCCCCTTCTATTCCCTCGTCTAAGTTGTTAATGAAGATATTGAAGAGTACTGGGCCTAAGACGGAACCTTGTGGCACCCCACTGCTTCCTTCCTTCCATGTAGACTTAGACCCTGCTTGGACTCAGCCACATGCCATCTCCTGGGAGGCTTTAACCAACCAGGGGGGACATGGGTCCAGGATACAAAGTGGTCAAGCTCACAGCCACAAAGACATGTCGACTTCTTTGAGATCACTATCTTGATTTCTTCCCAGATAACAGGATCATCCCATGTTCCTCCTTAACTTGGAGGGACCTGTTCACCTACTGTCTACCAATGCAATAAGGATGCAGAAGTAATTGCACTTCATTGCTCTTCTTTCCTTAAGGTTAATCCTAATATATGCTCTTATACGTGCTTGATTGGCTTCACTCTTTATCTTCCACCAATGACATCCTAGGCATCTCTTGTGTCACTTCATTGTACATTGAGATCCATGTACACAGAGAGTCTGCCCGGGTGCAATTTAGTTCAACACCTCCAATCACCTTCTCATTACAAGCAGCAAAGAAGCATTCCAAGAAGCATCTGCTGAACTGTGTGCCAGAGCTTCAGGAAAACCCCCATGATTCCTCTGAAACTTCATGGGGTCCATAAAGTGCTTGGGCTGGGCCATTCTAATATGCCCCACCTCACTGTGGTGTGGGGCAGCTGCTAAAAACTCTAGGCCCAACAGGGAGTGGTCCGTTCATGGCAGGAGACTGATGTTAACATCCCCCCAAATCAGATCATGATTCCACTGCCCCAAGACAAATACCAGTTTCAGTGTGTGACCCCCTAGGTGAGTTGGGCCATGGATGAGTTGAACCAGGTCTATGGCTTCCATGATGGCATGACCTCCTGTGTAGCCTCAGACCCTATGTCCAAAGGTAGCAACTTGAAATCCCCCAGAATTATAAATCTAGAGAAATCCACCACCATCTTAGACACAGAATCCAGTAACGCAGGAAGAGATGGGGTTATTCAATAAGGGTTGCTCAATGGGAAGGCAAGTGAGCAGCAATCCCCAACGATTCTTATGGTCCAACGTCTGGAAGATGGTTTCACATTCTGTAATGTCTGGGGCAGACCCCCTGGAGGCCTCCAGAGACACATGAATAACAACTACCACACACACATCCCTGTCTGGTGTTGCAGGTTATGCCACAACTAAAACCTGGGAGAGTATGTTTTAGAGAGGGGATGCTTCTGTTCGGTGGCTGATCAAGTCTTGGTAATACCAGCCAGATAGGTATCATTTGGGTTTCTTTTTCAGCTTGCTACTTCTGAGGAAGTGGCTAGGGTGCTCTATAGAATGTCCTTAACCTACAGATTGTGGTCTGTCCTGGTTTCTTTGGGCCACTTGAAGGGATAATAGTTCTCTGGAACTGGAAGGTTATGAAAAACTCTTTATAGGAAGGATTAATGCCAGCAGCTCTAAAAGGCATTGGTTCCCCTTTAAAAGGTCTCTGAATGCGAAGGTGGTAGATTTCCACCCCATCTTCATCCCTTCCTTTTGTAGCAAAGGTTGTTGAGGCCGTGGTTCAGAACCAACTACAGAATGTCCTCAAGGAAGTGGTTTATTTGGACCTGTATCAAGGTGGACAGCATTGGTCATTCTGGTTGATTATCCATATTGGAACTACTGCTGAATTATTCAGCACTGATAAGCTGAAATCTCCTTTTTTGTCCTTTTCATTTATTGTTACATTGCCTTCTGGTATATTAGAAAGTAAATTTGTTCCTTCTATGCGTTACTGTTGTTATACTTAGAAAACTTTTTGGTGATTTTATATACACGTAACTCTAATTTAACTTGTTTAAACCTTTTATATTTAAAATAGTCCTTGGGTTACAACAGCAATTTTGACTGGAATTTATGTCACTAAGCGAGGTGATCATAAAGCGTGGTATCATGTGACTGCCTCACTTAGCGATGGCAACTCCAGCAGTCCTAGGTGCTGCCCTTAAGCAAGGACCATGTGGGCTATTAAACAAGGAATTCATTCAACTTTTGGTCAGTTTCCCCATTGACTTGGTTTGTGAGAAGCCAGCAAGGAACATGAGGATGCTGTGATCAGTGAAACTCCAAGGACCAATTAAAAGTACAATTCATTCAGTGCTGTTATAATTTTGAAATGGTTGCTGAAGAACTGTCTTACAACAAGCAAAATTAATGGAGAATGTAGAAGTAAAATTGCAAGTTGCAATCATATGATGTTTGATTTAATGTTGTGGTGACTCATTTAACAACAAACTGGGAAGTGACATAGTAAGTCCATTACATGTGATTTTCTGCTTAGTGACTGAGGCTTAGCAATGGAGTAACTGGTGCTAATTGTGGTTACTAAACAAGGAATACTAAATGTATTGATATTTAATGTGGCTATTGCGGAACATATTACATTCATAGCAGAAAGATAGGATATAAACATTTCAAATAGTAGGTAAAAAGATTATCTGTTGTGTCCCATAGATTTTTAATATCCTGCTTTCAAAAATGAAACTGACTCACTTGGAGCTCAGGAGCAAAATAAACCAAGTCTTATACT